ATTGGCTTCCATTCTCCTCCTTACTTGTCTCCATAAGACTCGGTATTCGGTTTCAATCTGCTGTTGCAATAGGTGCCAGGCTTCCTTTACATGCATTGGTTGCTTTTCTATTGTTTCTTGGCACCTTTTTCTCCATATGGCCCAGAGTGTTGCTTTTCTAAGTATCTGGAAGAAGTTGGATTGGAGTGGGTTCCAGTCTTCCGGAGTTGTAAAACCCAGCAACAGGAGGGTGGGATTTGCAGTTAGGATTTTCCAACTCAGCTTGTTGTCGCTTCTTGTGGGAATTTTGCCTCTAAGCAGCCAGCTTTTCACAAAAGCTTTTTTCTTGGCTTCGAATCGATCTGGGCTGTCTTTGGCTAGCCCCTTGATTTTGTGCCACTTGCATCTGATCTCCATTTCAACCATGCAGCTTAGTGCGCGTCAATGGTCTAAGCACACCGTTTCTTCCATATGGTCCAGAGAGTGGCTTTTCTGATAAGAAGGTACCAGAGCCTTGGTCTGCCTTGAAGATATGGGGGAAGTTTGGTGGCTAGAAGGGTTGTGAGAGGGAAGGTTGGGGTGGGGGGATTCTGAAGTGGGAGAATCGAAGTCTTTTTACTCTGTTCCAAACACAGGTTGCTGAAGTGCATGTTAGCAAACAATGGGTTAAATTATTAAATCCTTACTTTGATCGCTGTTCACATTACACGGATCTCAGATCTGTTTTGAGCAGACCGTTTCTTCTCAAAACAGATCTGAGATCCGTGTAATGTGAACAGGGATAGAAGTAAGGATTTAATAATTTAACCCATTGTTTGCTAACATGCACTTCAGCAACCTGTGTTTGGAACAGAGTAAAAAGACTTTGATTCTCCCACTTCAGAATCCCCCCACCCCAACCTTCCCTCTCACAACCCTTCTAGCCACCGAACTTCCCCCATATCTTCAAGGCAGACCAAGGCTCTGGTACCTTCTTATCAGAAACATTGTTTATCCGGTACGGTGCTGTAGGCAGTCAGCCACTGTACACTACGAACCTTGGTTGGCTTGATTCTATTCCGACCATGGGATTTCTATTGTTTCATAGGTGGTGAGCTGTAGGAGACTCTGGCATCTTTCGCTGGACGTTCTGTTTTCAGGCACAATTCATATCCGAATTTGACTGTGTATGTCTTTGTTGATTGAGTTTTCCTTGGGGCTTTCTGAGACAAGTCCATGACCTTGGGTCGTGCTCGAGATCTATGCTGCTTTTGTGTGGTTCGAAAGTGGTCCAAGGTTTGGCGACAGCTACCCCATATTTTCCTGAGTAGGAGCGTGTCAAGTAGAACCGAGTCTGGGTCTGAGCAGAGGAGCTGTTGCGTTCAGGGGGATTTGAACCCGAGAGCTGACCAAAGTGTGAAGCAAGGACAGGGTGTTTTTATCTTGTCTTGTTTCTCAAGTTTTCTGCCAGTCAGATTCGAACTTGGGGCCTCCAAGTAAGCAGACTGATAGCCGGTATTAGACAGATATGACCATGTAGGACCTAGACATCTAGAACTCTCTAGGCCAGAGTGTGGTAGGACCCTGTAGGCCCAGGCAAAATTGGCACAATCAGAAGTGACGAGCTAGGAGCAGAATTCATTCAGTTTCAGAACTTTCAGTTCATGATTTCTGTGCAGTGACGAGAAGGATCCGGGGGAATTTCTGGACTGTTCTCACGGTCGATTCTCGAGAGGCGTGAAGAGTGAGCAGTACGAATCTGTTGGCGCTTGGTCGGGTTGGGTGCCCAGTACTTCCCACATCCCACATGTCCCCGGGGGTGGGGTTTGGGATGGCTTCTCTCAGTTCCCTTCAAATCACCAACGCTAGATAGGAACCGAACTGTCTCATGACATCAGCTCTCAGACATGAGTAACCTTTGTGGAATGCAAAATGTGAATTGACCTAGGCTGGTCCCCGGGCGGCCCGGCTGGGGGAAGGTCGCCTGGGTACCCTCCTGGGCAGACCGGGCCGGGCAGTGGCCGGGCAGGGTCCCACATGGGGAAAAAAAAAAAAAAAAAAAAAAATCTGGAAAAAAAAAGAAGTATAAATTGCAGTACAAGCAACTTTTGGCTGAGGGTCCCCTCGAAATTCCTTATTAAATTTTCAGATAAAAATAAATGAGGAGAAATGAGTTAAGATATAGTCTGATATACCCTTTTAAACCCCTCTAGTCACTGTTTACAGTGTTTACAGTACCTTTATACCCCCCAAACACTCCTGGGTGACCCACCACCGAAATGGAAGATAAGGCCGGATTCTGATTGCTCAGGCCGAGCGCAGTCCTGGCCTGAAGTCAGTTTCCTTTTTCTTGGAGATCCTTCCCTCTTTTTTGACCCGCCTGGTTTTGCAGGGCGATCCCCCCAGCCCCAGCTGGCCCGGGCATGCCTGGCCGGGCGACGGCCCAGCCTCGGAATTGACTCTATTTTTCATGTATAGCCTCTGAGCCTATACAGACATACGTTCGCAAACTCGTTTTGTAATACAATCTCATCGCTTTGGTTTTCAGGGTAGCATTCACTCGGCTTGTTCCTCTCCACCAGTTGAGCTGGCGATTTTCACCGCTTTGTACGAATTCACCACCCACGTCCCCTTTACGCCTAGTCATTCTGAAGCTGTAGGCCTCACAAAATTGTTGATTTTTCAATTTGACAGAAACCGGGCGATTTAGGCATGTGTCCTGATCTCCAATCTCTGTATTCCGTCAGCCGAGGGTCCACAGGACCACAATAATCATGGTTGCTGCAGTGAAATAAGCTCCGGTCAATTCAACAACTAGCTTCGTAATGGCATCAGACTATACTACTTTGCGGCTCCCCTGGTGGGTTTAGTGACTTAGTCGTATTAGTGGGCTCAGCTACAGGCAGCCGAAGGCTGAGTTATCCAACAGTAGAGGGAACAAAGCATGCCACAAAAGCACATTCATAGAGGCTCGAAGAGCAGACGCTTCGCGTCATGGTCGCATCTGCAAATGAGAATTTGGAACGCAAGTACATTCGGCGAACAATCCGAGATAAACAGATTCTTAACTATCAGGTTGGACGAGAAGTTGAGAACGCATATTGCACTTCAGTGCTATTGCTCGTCGCAGTGCTGGTTGCCAGGTTGCGGAAAAAAACGCGAACATCCCATGGATGATGGACCTAAACTTTCAATGTCTTAGCTTCCTATCACAACGGCTCAAACCCATGGGCTTGGAACTCCATCCTGATAAAGCTCACATAGTCACGATGGGAGAAGGATACAGTGGAACCGGTCAACCATTTGAATCTCTGGATTGTTGAATGGGGTAGAGGTCTCGTAGCACAGGGTCTTATTAGAGCTTTTCAGATCTATTTTCAGTGCGATGAAGCTAGACCAGTGAGGGAGACTTTAGGCCCGTTCACCCAGCTCGAAGAGCCTTGCAAGCCAGCGACTGAGCTGTTTGGGATCCTATGGGAAACCAACCCTTACAAGCAACGGAGAGAGTCAATCAGATTCTGCAGACGAACAACAGCCTTCCTCCAGACGGATTTTCGGATGGCGCAGAGCGCTCGCAGTAGCGACAGTACCTACCACACTTCGTGCTTACCGGTAGAGGAGAGAGCAATCTGCATTCTCGTCCAACCTGACAGTTCAAATCCCACACATTCTCGTCCAACCTGAAAGTTCAAATCCCACTTTGGGATGAGAGCATATGGTTTCGCGCCTACGAGTATAAACCACGCAAAGGAGCAACTCATTTGGTAGTGCGCGGTCACCCATAAAATCCCGACCCCTATCTGTGATAAGTATTGTTCTTGGATTTATTGTGTGGGCTCAAGATTGGTCCCTCTCATATAATACGAAAGAGGGCCCATAGAGGTGGGTAAGCATGTAGATGGCCAGGTCAGGCTAAACAGATAATAAACTGTGGACCGTCGCCTCACTGCGTGCTGCCATTTCTATTTTATTCCAATCAACGCACACATGATAAGAAAGATGGTGCAGGATCATCAACCAGTGTCTATGCAAGCATACCGCTACCCGGGTTAAATTGAAAGAGGCAGATTAGCAGATTACCCAATTCGTTGGGGACAGGAGGCAAAACGATATCTTGTAACAACACATGAATCAATTAGCCAGCGCTGTGTGCCTCTAATGTGGAATGCGGATTAAAGTGCGCGCCTGATGGCGCCTTTAGGCACAAATCTCTCGCCGAAGGCCGCAAGTAAATCGTCCAGGATGTCCATGAGATCTTGGATTCATCCAGACAGTCAGTGGAGAGTGATATTGCAGGCTTTCATGTGTTCCTTGACTACATCATGGATCTGCTACCTTCAGACGGTCTGCACACTTTCTCCTGTGTGAACCGTCCACGTCCGAGTTCATAGAATTGAGGCACCAAACTTTTGACCTGGATAGCACCTGCTTTGGATCCTGCTGTCATGAGCACAGTGCAAGGTCAGGAAAACAATACTCGAGCTACACGCTGGTTGGTTGGAGATTGATCAAATCGCGAGTGCTGGACGCCTCTAACACTACTGAAGCATCCCTGGAGGCTGGAGGCCCTGGAGTCATCCCTTAGGGACTGACTTTTTGTTTGGAGAGGCCACTCGGCTGTCAATTTGAGGTTTGGAAGTTAGCATCCAAAGGGACAAAAGAGCCTCTCAATGGGATTAGTTTGAAAAAATAAAATAAAATAGTTTGAACACTGAAGTTCGATGGCAAAGCTCAACCTCTGCGAAGTGTGGCAGGTACTACAAGCCCTCGGCCGCATCCTTCATGCGCTCAAATGAAACAATCCATGGAATCCTTAATTCATCACTTTAAGCTTTACATGGAGGTTGTTTAGGTTGGACGAGAACACAGATTGCGTTTCAGCAAGACCTTGTAACTCCTGGTCTGGAACCTGTTGACTGAAGTCCATGGTCTGTCATGTCAGACGTCGCAGGTTCAAATCCTGTTTTCCCGGGAAGGTATGGCTGAGTGGCTGTCGCATACACATCCAAACATGACAGGTATAGCGCAGATCCAAGGAGTCGACTAAAAACAAGAGACTATATAAACGCAGCGGAAGACTGAACATACATCTGACACAGCAATATCAGAATGGGCACACTGATACATGCATCACACGGTGAGAAGGGGGCAGTGCAGCATACAAGGGGCGCTGTCCCCTGATCATTCTCGGACGAAGTAGGAGGGAGAGGGAGACGAAGGGGGAAGAGAGGGGCGAGAGACCAAGTCGCCAATCCCGAATGTCGCCGAAGTCCCAGTCTCAGTACAATGTCCAAAAGCAGGTCTGTCGCCGAAGTCCCAGTCTCAGTACAATGTCCAAAAGCAGGTCTTTGCCTGAAATACCAGAGCAGGGCAATGGCCCGACAGATCTCAGATCTCAGATCTCTCTCTCTCTCTCTCTCTCTCTCTCTCTCTCTCTCTCTCTCTCTCTCTCTCTCTCTCTCTCTCTCTCTCTCTCTCTCTCT